TGACAGACAAAAGAAATCACGCTGGCTCTCGCCACTCGGCCGACCATGAAAAGCGCACAAGCAAGAGAGGCGCGGCCATGGTGCAGGCAACGTTACAGCCGGCAACGTGCATAGGCAGCAAAGCTCGGCCACGACGTCCATGGCCCGCGCGCCCCCGATTTGCCACCGGCAACCTGCAGGCCAGCGCCGAGCAGCGGGCTGACTGACTGCTGACCGAGGCAGCGCCCACGGCAGCGCCCACGGCAGCGCCCACAGCAGCACCCACGGCAGCACCCACGGCAGCGCACACGGCTTGGCTGGCCATGTCAGCCGCGCAGGGACCCTCCCGCGGGTCCAACCCGAAGCGCTCGACCGCTCGACAGCGCAAGTCGGCTGACGGAGCGAGCCGCATAGCCCTCCAGTGCTCACCGCAGGATCAGGCCTGACCGGCCCACGCTCACGGCCTGGCCTGCCTGTGGACCAGCAAACTCGTTGGCTGTACGCGAGGAAAGCGCTGCGTGGCTGGGTCGATACCGTCCCCGTGCGCCCTTTCCCTCAGTGGAGGGCCGTCCCTGCCCTCGGGAGTAACTCGACTGTACACCCCTCCCTACTCTCTAGCTAAGGGCTCTATTCACAGCGGGGACAGTGGTTGTCCTGGCGGAGTCCTGACGGAGTCCTGACAGAGTCCTGACGGAGTCCTGACAGAGTCCTGACAGAGTCCTGACAGAGTCCTGACGGAGTCCTGACAGAGTCCTGACGGAGTCCTGACAGAGTCCTGACGGCCTATTTTGGAGTTTTTCAACTTTGAGGTATTGTAACTATGTGAAGGCACTATGAATGCATCAGTTCTTTGGGAGAGTGCAATCCATTTAGTTATTACCTCCAACTCAAAAAAAGTCTGGTGGCAAACGGGCAATGGGGTCCCTTATGGTGGCCTCTAAGGGTAAGTTGCGGGAGCTCCACAAACCAGGTTTACCGCTCTAGGTCTACGACTGTAGCACTGCTCTGGCACTGGCTGCCTGCGTCGAAGTTGAGCGTAGGTGATGATTAGTTTGGCGCGTCTCACGGCCCAGCCGCCCTGGGGCCCTCTCACGCCACCGGCGCAGCGGACCGGCCTCGGGCGTCACTCAGCCATCCATCCTCCAGTTGATGAGCTGCGCCGCGCGGAAGGGCACCACCTCCTCGTTGCCGAGGGGGAGGGAGTGGGCCATCTTCCACGTCTCTCGGCGCAGCGTCACCACCTCGTCGTTGGCGGGCACGCCGTAGAAGGCGGGGCCGTGCAGCGAGCAGAAGGCCTCGAGGTGCTCGAGGGCACCCGCCTCCTCGAACGCCTACCCTCGCGCAATCTCGCGCAATCTCGCGCAATCTCGGGCACTCTGAGGTAGTCTCTCGGGTGCTCTCGGGCACTCTCGGGGTACTCTCGGGCACTCTCGGCGGCAACTGGTCCGCGTACACGCCTCCGCATACAGCTCGAGAGCCTACAGGGAAGGTTCCGGGAAGCCTCCGGGACGGCGGGAGCAAGCGACCACCCCCGCGCCGCAGCTCGAGCGCCGCGTTGGCGTTGAAGATGCCCGCGCATCCGCACCCCGTCTCCTTGCGGCCGATCGCGTGCGGCGCAGAGTCCGTGCCTAGTCGAGATATGGGGAGATGTGGGGAGGTGTGGGGAGATGTGGGGAGATCGCGTGCGGCGCAGAGTCGGTGCCGAGGAAGAGGCGCGGGCACCCGGTCCGCAGGGCGTCGAGCAGCGCTCGCCGGTCCTGTACCGGGGGGTGGTAGGGTGGGTTCGGGTACCGGGGGGTAGGGTAGGGTGGGTTCGGGTACCGTGGGGTAGGGTAGGGTGGGTTCGGGTACCGTGGGGTAGGGTAAGGTGGGTTCGGGTACCGTGGGGTAGGGTAGGGTGGGTTCGGGTACCGTGGGGTAGGGTAGGGTGGGTTCGGGTACCGTGGGGTAGGGTAAGGTGGGTTCGGGTACCGTGGGGTAGGGGACCGTGGCGTCAATGTGTGGTGCCAGCCGTCTATGGCTTGCACGGGACGCGCCGCTTGTCCGACTAGCTCTCTTTTTGCTTGCGAACGAAGTGAGCCCTGCTGGTGGTACCGTGAGTCTGGGGTGGGGGTTGTGAGTGTCGTTGCATGCTCCGGGCTGAAGGGGGGGGGGGGGGGGGAGGCTGAAACCTCTTGCTCTTCAGTGCGGGCTACGTCTCGGCTGCACGTCCCGCCTCCTCCGTCTTGAGGATGGGGAGGCAGTAAAGATGGGGTCGTATCCCTCCGGCGAGCAGCGCATTCCGGTTGGCGAGCAGGTGCTGCGGGGTGATGGTGCCTAGGGGTAGGGGTAGGGGTAAGGTTAGGGTTAAAGGCTGGCGAGCAGGTGCTGCGGGGTGATGGTGCCTAGGGTAAGGGGTAGGGGTAAGGGTTAGGGTTAGAGGTTGGCGAGCAGGTGCTGCGGGGTGATGGTGCCTAGGGTAAGGGGTAGGGGTAAGGGTTAGGGTTAGGGTTAGAGGCTGGCGAGCAGGTGCTGCGGGGTGATGGTGCCCGCGAGGTTTGGGCCGCCGTGCAGCACCGACTCGACCGCCTGGGAAGAGGAGGGGGGGGGGGGGGGGGGGGCGGCGGCTCTCCCATTGCCCCCCAGTGGGGGGTGTACCGGAAGGAGGCCCGGTAGGAGGGCCGGCAGAAGGGCCAGAAGGAGGCGCCGACGTAGGGGCCGGAGAA